CAGAAATAGGGAAAGCATCACTGTTGCCAACTCGTAAGAAGCATGATTCGACATGTTAGAAGAGTTGCTGTTTAAAACAAATAGAAAACAGGACAGATTTACTTGCTCGCCTTAAGTCAAGACAGGTTTAGTTACCAGCAGACACTTGCGTTTGACCCTTTTTCAGTTGTGTAAAATAGAATCCTAGTTGCATGGTCGAAATTTTCCGTACATTTTATAAGATTTCAATATATGTGTTTCTTTACAATCTAAAATGGAGTGCGAGTAATCTCTTATTCTTATTGAATATTCTAATTATTTTCTTTGAGTCACAGCAGATCGAGAGCACTTGCGAGGGGCGAGCAGGCGAAGCCCCAAACTCCCCGCTCCAATTCCCCCTCCTTTTTAACATTAATTTGCATAAATTTATTTTTTTGGTCGTCGCGCGTGGCTCTGAAAAGAGGGATAGCCACTCGCGATCAAACGATACAATAAACTAATTGAAATTCATTAAGTCATGTGTGCTAGCACGCTGTGTTTGTTTACAGTTTAAAAAATAGAAGTTGGGCCTAGCTGTTTAGTGACACTCCCCTGGAAAGAATATTGGCGACTTACTAGACCAAGCGACTACCGTTTAAGACAGTTTTGACGTAATTAGAAACATAAATTTGGTCGTCGGGTGCCCCGGATACTTGTGTACATGAACTAGTTGTCGACAGGCTTCCGACCTTTCTTTTTCCCCTCGTATAGGCTCTTGTTTCCAACTGTTAATCTCTAAAACCTTGTTAGCAGTTCTTTACTTAAGTAAGTACTTCTGTGGATCAGTAGGTTAAGAAAGAGATAGAAAATGTGTGAAAAGTACTTACATTTTCGCGTTGGTCGTGGTCGTCCAAACTGGAGTAGCTTCTTCAAGTCAAAAACCAGCTAAAACCCGTCAAAAAAGGTAAAAAATCGTCCTTCTACGAACGCCAACGGCGACCGCGACAAATGGCGGAAAAAAAGGTATCACGTGATCATCTCTTCGTGAACCCGGGGAGACTAGTGAAAAGAGGTTTCACGGTTTTTAAATATTATAGTAATAATATTAGTATAGGTAATAGCATGATTTGTAGTGATATTTGGCATAAATACACAAGTGATATTTCAAAATTGTTATACGTAATTTCACGAGCCGTTAGGCGAGTGAAATTTGAGACAAATTTGAAATATCACGAGTGGTATTTATGCCAAATATCACGTACAAATCATGCTATTATTTGTTTATACTACTACCCACAAAAGGTTTGTAATTTTCACATGTAGGTATTTCAAATTAAGTTGAAATACCACTGCTCTAAGCCAATCAAATTGCAGAAATTTATCATGTAGTAGTATAAATATTATTACAGTAGAACCCCAATAACTCGCACGACGTCCCATTTTCCCTGGATTTGCCCCAATCTTCAGTCATTTTTACTCGGTTAACTCGAACTCGGATAACTCGAATTCCTCGCTAACTCGAACTAAATTTCCTTTAATTACCTTAGATCAAATATTACTGAAATTTACCCAGATAACTCGAATTCTGAAATATGTAACTTCACTTTGATGCCATTTTATTAGCTCTTCTTGTTGTATAATCGGTAAAACCACTAAAACCAACAACAGAGCAATTTGATTTTAATTGGTGCAACGAACAGATCACATGATAAAAAGCACAAGTTACCCTTTCTGATGAAAGAAGTTAAATTTACACTATACCATACACTGAAGGGCTGAAAAATCACCAACTATTTATCAAGATGGCAAATTTGGCATTTAATCGACCCCGATAACTCGAACCCCCGCTAACTCGAACTGCTTTTCGTTTCCCTTCAGAGTTCGAGTTCACGGGGTTCTATCGTGGTCTAGATTTTTTTTCCGTGATGGCTCAGTCAACGGCCATTAAGCGCAGATACCAATAACCCCACCCGAATTTCTTCCCCAATTCAGATTGTTTTACTAATCTAATTGGAGAATCATTTAAGGCCAGCATATCAAAACTTGGTCTCTGGAGTTAAAGCTCAAGTATAGTTTACGAAGTCCAGTTACGAACTTAGCATAATCATTGGATTACGTTAAGTAAACGGGACTGTCACAAAGAGACCATTACCATATCTCCTAGACACCTAGCACAAAAAAAGATATCATTCCTGTCCAGAAGACGTATGTACATAATCTTAGGAAAAAAGGCTGCGTACGCCCAAAAATTAATACAGAGCGTTTTATGAACACCTTTGTAAATAGGTTGCTTTTTAAGCTCCATTTATTGTAATGATACACTTTTTCAATATATACATATAACGTAGATATTTTTATCATAGTTTTTATCTTCTCTTATTGTAACATAAGATATGTATTTTTATCTTTTGGTGAAATAAAGACTCATTATTATTATTATTACCCCACCCCACCACCCCCTCGGATTGAGCCTCGAGTGGTCAAAAGGGTGATAATTCTTTACGAAACGTAAGTCAGAGTACAAAAATACTTTATTTTTTAATCTTACAATGCAAAGGCATCTTAGAACAACAGTTCTAACAAAATACAAAATTTCTACGGTATAACCTGCTGATTTACTAGCCGTTGCCTTGCTCGGCCATCTATGTACAGTGGACTCAGGTGGTACTCGCCCAAGATGGCGAAACCAGAGACTTGACAATATAGCATTAATCGTATAAGGTGATATTCGACTACAATAAGCTATAAAGGAGTAGATTTTCAAAGGTCGAAATAACCGTGGTCACAAAAAATAAGACAGATATTCACCACTTTAGAAACGAGAAGGGAACTGGAGCCCAAATGCGTCCCGCAATAATATTGTTTCTGGGATCGTTACAGGGGACGGTAAGCTATTGGCCAACAGTTAACAGTCCCAGAAGTCTTTGCAAAAGTTAACTCGGCCGAATTTGCCTCTGGTTTCTAAAGAGGCTCTGATAAACAAGATGTTAACTGATATTTTTTGCTCGCAGTCGCCTGGGGCTAGTACCACTGCTGGAGCACAGCCTGCCTGAGATCTTCTAATCCTTTTAATAAAAGGCAGCATTTTAATGCTTTGCTATGTACATTCTAAGTTTAAAACTTATAATTTTACTCACTAAAAACCTAAATACTACAACAATTCACCTAGTGATAACAACTATTTCTCAAAAGGACACCTCAACAATTTTTAATTGCTATTACAATTACACCAACACAACACACATGATTAACTTTGAGTTCAACGTTTAGACTGTGAGGATGATCACAGTATGAGTTTTCTGTGCAAAGAGTGCAATCATCAAGAGGGTCGTGGTGATACGGGCCTTTTAAATGGGGCTGGTACCCTCGTTCAAAGTCTTTAATGACTTGTCCCTTGCAAACGAAACTCATGGTTTGCTATTCATAGCTTATGCAGTGTTATATAACTCTTAACGACCATGTTCCCTAAGGTCTCCTTCCTTTCTTTTCACATGGAGTCTGAGCAGGGATTGAACCAAAAAAAAAAAAAAAACAACCACAACAAGGCTTGCCAAAGGACAATGCCTTCTTTTCCTGCTTAACAAATGACTAGCTTGGACCCTTGTCTGCTAGGGAATTGAGCTTAAAAGTGTTACTTGCCCGACAAGACAATCTTCTTGTCCAGGATAACTGGACAGGACTTTTATTCAGCCCTGGAGAGAAGACAGGAGAAAGAGACCCTGGGAATAAGGTTATACTACTTCAATCTTCTTCATGCAAACGACATGCTTATCTTTTAAGTCTGAAACTCTGACAGCCCTGATTAAGGTTATAGGAATCGATGCATGTCAAGTACTAAATACTGCTCTGTGGTGCAGCCATTTATAAAACTTTCCTTAAGTGGAAAAAACTTTCTTAAACTTTCTAGAAATTTACTTTGTGCATTCTAACTACATTCTACAAACAATAGGTATAATAGAGCCAGTACTGACAGCACATGTGCCTCAACTGTTATACACAACCACCACTTTCTAAGAACTGTAAAAGCAAAGACAAATGAATGATAAGATGTGGGGGTCACACACAATATCTACATCAAGGGCCTTTTATTATGAAAATATCCTCTTTAACTAGTAAAAAGACAAGGAAATCTGTGAGAATTTCAGGGTAGCAAGTGCTGAGCTAAATTTTTGTCGGGTGAAAAAAAAAAAGACAGAAAAAACGTATTGGTCTGTGAAGCAGCAGTAGATATAGATAAGGGGGCATGATGTAACTCCAGAAAGTGTAACCTTGCACAACACATTTAACCCTTCTAAGTGAACAACCACATGTATCCTAAACAGAAATTCAGGATAATTAACCCATTCGCCCCTGAACCGCCCGTGCGGATCCAGGTCCTTTCTACCCTTTGTGACGTCATTAGTTTTAACGTTCAAGGGCAACTTTCTTCGGTAACTTGTGTAGAGTGAAGAGATCTTTCAATCCATACCAGAATGAGCACAATTCAGTCAAGGACACCGGAGAAAGAAGCAAAAAACCACGTGACATTGACCTGAAAATCTCCATGAAAATCTTGTTCCATTGCTCACCTACCTTTGCTTTCACCTAATCCTAAGATCCTAAAAGCTTTCCTAAAAACTCTTCCCACCAAAATGAAGCCTACTAAATGCCCAACAAGAGAAAAAAAAAATGAGGCAAGAAAAGCGAAAAAAAGAAGGGAGGAGAGAAAGCGAAAAGTAAAAGTCAAGACTGCTGTGTCACTTTTAAACCCAAAAACTATCTCGAAATTTTGCTTTCTGCACATGCCCGAACTTTGCAAGCTGATATTTTGCATCTGGATCAGAAAGCCGCGAAGTGTACGACCTGTAAACCGGTTTGTGGTAAGTTTTAGCTCTTTATAGCACGACAGTGACCAGAAAACCACTCGACTAGCTTCAAAACGCGTTTTTCGGCAAAATCTCCAGGAGCGAATGGGTTAAGTGTCCAATTATGGGAGGTACCCATGCTGTAGATAGTTGGGGAAAACACCAATAATAACTGAACAGTCAAAAACAAAGTGAAAGTTACCTGGTATACTTCTTGACAACTGCCTTTTCCAGCAAGGCTCGAACAGTAGGACGGTCTTCTGGGCACTCCTGTGTGATAACAACAAAGACATGTCACAAATCAATGGACCTTCTGAATAGCCTTCTCCTCTTGAGACTCGCTGTAGCTCAGTGAATAGAGCACGTATTTGCATGGTGTTTGGCTAGTTACAGGTTCAAATCTTGTCCTCGACTCTAAGATTTTTTTCTTTGCCCAGAAATAATCTGTTACATGCATTATTTTACCTTCTTAAGTTGCTAACCATAATATACTTTGTAGGTTAAATCTTACTAGTGGACAGTACTGTTTACTCACCTGGACACACTCTTCAACCAACTGAGCCAACTCATAGTCTAATTCACGTAACTTGTCGATCTGTTTCAACAAGAGAACACAACAGACTTTACAATCAATTCTACCTATATAAAACCTTGCTACTACAAATAATAAACGGTATTGAAAATTACTTTGATATAATGAAATTTACTGTATCTTCCCAGTCCCTGGGCATTTTTAAATCAGGCTTCCACAGTAGCTTCTGTTATGGATTAACAACCTGGTGTCATGATTTGGGTGATGTTTAGAATTTTTTCAGTCTCCTGTATTATGTCCTTGGTGATCAATGTGTTGATTTTGGTTCAAACATCACAGCTGTTCCACAACAATGATCTTATACCTCTTTTATAGAGTCTAACAGTATTATAATAATATTATTGTTACTTTATTATTTTGCTTACAAGGTGCAGCATTTTTTCAACAAAAGTTTGCTTGATAGCTCTAAATATGTTGTAATATTATTTTAGGGTGCGTCTTATAACCGAGTATCTTTGAGCAACAAAACAAAATTACGTCAAATTTTTTACTCTTAAACTCTAGCTGGTCATCCTCCTCTTTTTTATTGGTTTTCAATGACTTCTACATCTTCTAAAATTGACATTAAACAATGAATGAATCATTTTGCCTACAAAACAAATCATCTGCCATCACTCGTTTTGAGCACGTGCTTGATCCAAGATGGCGTTTTGTTTACAGTCATTTCCACACTGTGATCTTGTGCTTGTCTCCGACCTAAATTTTCCGAAGAAGGCTCCCAAATCTGTTAGTTGAATTGTGAGAGCTTTTTTATCACAGTTGTTTTGATAAACAAGGACTTAATTTTACCAGGTTTGCCAGTTAATTAACAGAATATTCAGGCTCATGTATTCACTATCAATTTTATCTTGATACTACCGATGCATGTACTGCTGTCAATATGCTGCAACCAAGACAGCTGACTTGTTTATAGAAAAAAACAAGATTCATTAAGTAAAGTGAGATTTGTTTGCTTTTGATCAAAATATGTAACCTTTTTTGCGTAATCAGCGACGTTGAAAAGCATGTTGTTGTAGTTAAGGCAAACATCTCCCAAAATCATGGCTGCACCTCATACCCAGGTACTTTGACTTACTTTTCAGTTTGCTAGCTTAGAAAAATGGCATTGAAAAGTTTGGGGTCCATCTTATAACCAAGTACGCCTTATAACTAAAAAAATACGCTATTTCCTACATGCCCAACAAGATTTAAAGGCATTCAATAAAACTGGATTAACAATAGTGGTACTACATAGCCTGTTAATGTGTACCTGTTCCCACAATGTATCTCGGCTTGGTACCCCCACTAAAAGTTCAATCAAGAAGCATCCCAAACTATAGACATCAGCTGGTCTGCCATGAGGCTTTCTTCCCAAAACCTGCAAATAGATGTCCGGGAAAACATTAACACACTTCCGTCTTGATGTTGTCTTTTTGAATACAGATACGTTTCAGTCAGTTTAGGATTCATTTCTCCAGAGTCACCTTCTGCAAACCTACATGAGGGAGAAGAAAACTGCATAGAAACTTTAAATGGTACATACATTCTGCCTATAAACACCCTACATATGTACATGATGCATATTCAAAAGACCTTCAACCTCAGCAATATAATGAATAAGGTCCCTCTTCTTGGATGTGAAAGCTTTCATACATCCAAGAAAGTAGCTTATCACTCGCAGCTCATGAAAACTTAAGCTAAAAGGATAGAAAACTACAACAGCAACAAAATGAAAATTGATTAAACTAGCATGCTTACCTCAGGGGATGCAAAGCCCTTTGTTCCTAGAGGTTGAAGCCCTGCTTCCGTGAACTCATCACTAAGTCTTTTTGCCGAGTCAAAATCAGCAAGTTTGGCTCTGGTGTACTCCTCAGTTAACAACACATTCTTGGCTGATAAAAAGAGGGAACAAAACCAAATTAGCATTTAATCCAAATAATTATCCATACAAAATATTTTGCAGTTTCCGCTGAGCTTGAATCCTGCAGCTAATTCTGAAAATTTGTAAGAAGGGAAAGAAATTCTGCTGATATTCTGAAACCATGCCAAGAAACAGGCAATTGTTTTGAAGAACTCTGCGATTATTGAATTCAGCTTGTAGATGATATTAAGAATTTGCAGATCTTGGAGGCTATCATCTACCTCTGCTGATAACATACTCTTTGAGGAACACAAAGAAAACAACTGTGAACTTCAAACAGTAAGGCTGATGAAAAAAACTTTTCCTATAAATCTGTGCACAAAGACAGTACTTCCTTTTAAATTTAATACAATAAACTTTGCCAAGATGACAGGGATCCATATTCGCTTTTGTCCAGTCGTCACGGACAACTACAATCTCCTATGGACAAGTCAACTCCAAAAGTTGTCTTTTGGATGAGTGAGGTTTTTCTCAACCACAAAATCTTTTTCAAAATACTTTTATGATTTTATATGTTCATATTACCTGTGTTCTGATTATTTCTCATTCACTTAAAACTTTAAGAATGGAGTATAACAAAAAACATGATTTTGTCTGTAATAAAATCGCTGATGGAGCAGTAACTTCCACGAAATGATTGCAGCCTCAATTTTAATGTTGTCAATCTCTGGCATTTTTCATTTTGTGAAGAACTGAACTCATCAAGATGTGGTGTTTTTAGCAGGCATTTCGCCACCTCCAGCGAAAAAGAAAAGGTGAAGCAGAAGCCACTGCATTACACGAGGAAAAAACTGAGTGCACCTTCTTGCATTCATGGCTTCTTGCCTTGTTTTTGTGCTTAACAGAATGTTGCACTTAGTAAAACCCTTTCTCAGTAGGCTTAACTAGAACGGAAATATAATGCAAATCAGTTCTAAATGCTCAAGTTGCATACAATAATCACCAGTCTCTCTATAATTCTGCCCTTTTGTCCAGGCAACCCAAATTTGTAACCAGGGAAGTATGCCATCAGGCTTACTTGCCTGGCTGACGACTCTGTTGAAAAAAGGAATATGGATCCCTGAATGCTGAAACTAATCTCACCCTTTATGTCCTTATGAATCACTGGTGTTGGCAGGGTGTGTAAATAGTCCACAGCATGAAGTATTTGATTGAAGTAAAACATGGCCTCCCCAAGGAAAAGACGCCTACCCAACTTCACCATGCGGGAGAACAGACACTCATCTAAAAAAAGAAAATACAAGCAGCTTAGTAAACATCAAGCTTATCAGTAAAATGCGGAGATGAGAGACAGTATCAGTGTATTTTTNTGATTTTGTCTGTAATAAAATCGCTGATGGAGCAGTAACTTCCACGAAATGATTGCAGCCTCAATTTTAATGTTGTCAATCTCTGGCATTTTTCATTTTGTGAAGAACTGAACTCATCAAGATGTGGTGTTTTTAGCAGGCATTTCGCCACCTCCAGCGAAAAAGAAAAGGTGAAGCAGAAGCCACTGCATTACACGAGGAAAAAACTGAGTGCACCTTCTTGCATTCATGGCTTCTTGCCTTGTTTTTGTGCTTAACAGAATGTTGCACTTGGTAAAACCCTTTCTCAGTAGGCTTAACTAGAACGGAAATATAATGCAAATCAGTTCTAAATGCTCAAGTTGCATACAATAATTACCAGTCTCTCTATAATTCTGCCCTTTTGTCCAGGCAACCCAAAATTGTAACCAGGGAAGTATGCCATCAGGCTTACTTGCCTGGCTGACGACTCTGTTAAAAAAAGGAATATGGATCCCTGAATGCTGAAACTAATCTCACCCTTTATGTCCTTATGAATCACTGGTGTAGGCAGGGTGTGCAAATAGTCCACAGCATGAAGTATTTGATTGAAGTAAAACATGGCCTCCCCAAGAAAAAGTCGCCTACCCAACTTCTCCATGCGAGAGAACAGACACTCATCTAGAAAAAGAAAATACAAGCAGCTTAGTAAAGATCAAGCTTATCAGTAAAATGCAGAGATGAGAGACAGTATCAGTGTATTTTTTTCCTGTAGTAGACCACAAAACGTTTCTGCTTAAGATAAAAAGAAAGTCTCAGCTGGGTAGACAGTTAGCCATAAAAGAGCCAAAAATTTGCATAAAAAGAATCATGATGCATAAAAATAAATACTTCTAACCACTAGTTGTAAACAAATGCAAAAGTAAACACCATTCAAGCCACAGCAAAATCAATTTAATTTTTGACTCATCCCAGAAAAGTTTTAGAGGACTTAAAACAGACCTTCTTCAACAATAATTATCAAATTTTCTTCTTCAAATGTTTGTTATGGAAAAGCTGAAATATTAACTATTAACAATGAATGCCACCACTCAAAGAACAACATACCACACTTTTCCATAAAAATGCTGGCCTTTCCTTCACTTCCTCTGAATGTCCCTCCAAAGTGCTTCACAATGTGTTCATGGTCTCCCAAAAGTTTATATACTTCAACTTCTTCCTTGGGTATGCGATAATTTGTCTGAGCAAAAATAAAAATAGCAATAACATTTAAGCAACATCTCAGATGATAACATAAAAGAACGTCCCCACAATCCCTTATATTAGGCTGAAGCCTTATATAAAAAAACGACTTTGCTATATACTTTGCAAATCCTTAGTACTAAACTGTAACTACGTCAATGTAAAAAGGCTTAATATCACTGGCCTGAATATTCTTACATTTCTCAAGGCCTAGATTTTTTCAAACAAGATCTGGGGCATCAAAATTGATCAATTTGTCTGTAGTCTTCACGTAACGCTGCAGCAACCTTAAATTTCAATTTCCCCATTTTTGTTTTTTTTTTCCCATGGGCTTTGCCAAAATTAATTTGTTTTTCTCTTACCGCAAAAAACGTGTTTTCCCTTACTCTGACAATACTCAAGCAGTTAAAAATAAACTGAAAATTATCAGAGCACTTGTATTTGATCATGGCTTCTACAATTTTTTTGACAGCTACAAAGAAACAACCAACCTCTTTAACAACCATTTGCAAGCTCCTGTCTGACTGCAAATAAACTGGATATATGGCACCATTGCTGCCACCACCCAGTTTGTCCTTTCTGATCACATTATAATCACAATGCTCACAAAAATAGTTCACAGGGAGAAGAGTAGAGTTCTGAGGAGAGAATTGCAAGAAAAAAGCAAGTTACACATTGATCTGTATCTCTAATTATAACAATTTAAATAAATCAAGACTAAGTTCTTTAGTATCTACTGTGTTTAAAGCTCATTGAACCTCTTTTTTGTCAAGGCCATGATAATTGCATACTTGACAACTCTTTAATTTTATGGAGTGATGGGGAGGGGGGGGGGGGGCAGGAAAAAAGGTAAACTGGCTAACTGCTACATTCAAAAGGGGAAATTTACCGCTAGATCAAAGTCAGATAGCAACTTATTCCACAAACTCCCTCAATTACTTTGAAGTAAGCTCCACTGTATGGTTATTTCACAGATATTGCAAGTTACCACAGCATTGGTAAAACCTATTCAAAATATCATAAATTTTAGTTTCAGACTTTTGACTCAAAAACAGGTTTCTTGACCCCCTGTGATAATCATTATTGGAATGTACTTTGCCGAGAGTATCTTTCCCTGTATGTTACACTGATATTGTCAATAATATTTTTAACATAATTATTACCCGGAAAATAACTTTGCCATCAATCTGAAATGAGTCCATCAGTGGAGTACAATACAGGGTCCTGGAGGGTACCCATGCATCCCATCGTGGTACTTGAACTGGTACTCGCTCTGGCTGAAAGGGTTGAACAGGCTGCCCTTTGTCTTTGCTGACGTTTCCATTCCTTTGCAAAATTGAAACATGATTTACAATACTCTTCTCTGTCACAAGAATTTAAGGAGACAAAGCCAGTCTTTCTTAGAGACATAAAAATGGTATGCAACAAGTGAATGTACGTCTGATTTAAAACTTATCAGCCCAAAACTTGGCGAGCAAGTGCTTCAAACCACTGTCCAACTTCATAACATTTCTGTTTAAAAAAATGGAACTCAGAAATATGCTACTTCTCTTTCCTAATTTCTCCTAGAGGAGGATGTCCCAATCATATGTGTTTAGCTTCTCAACTTCTAGGTTTTGGTTTCACCTTCGTTTTCACACAACAATGTCATGTGTCTAGTTGAAGTGGTTGACAAATGCAACAAAGTAGCACCAGCTCTTTAACAACAGCCCTTTGTAGGTGGGTGAGGAAAAACTAAAAGAAGGCAAGAGGCTGTCTCTATATTATTGGCAGGAAAGAATTATAATAGATGAGGACTTCAAGAAAAGTGTTGTTACCTGGCGTTGTCACACTCTGGTACACGACATCCATCTCTGCGGCAAAATTTTGCATGCTGTTGGACAATGTCGTATGTATTCACACACTGAGGGCAATCTTGGTTCCATCCTTTGTGAGCTTTCATGTGCATGATATCTGCCTTCATCTATTGGAGAGATTATACAACAATGTGGCAGTTAAAACCACAAACAAAAACATGCACCGATAAGAAAAAAGAGAACCAAAAGTGCTAGAACAGTTAAATGCCACGGTGACATGATTGTTAAAACTTACAGGTTTGCATTTCATATTTGGGCACTCTGTCTTTGAACAATAAGAAGCATGCTGGATGTCTTGTGGAAAAAACAGTAGCTGCAGATGCAAAAAATTATATAGTCAAGTATCAAAGTATTGCCTTATTTGCCACACTGATATCAACAGCTTGATTACAGACATTTAGCCACACATGTTCCTTGGTTAAAAGGCATTCTAGGATGTACTTCCAAAAAAACAAAAAAAAATATAAGGGCCAATTATTTAAATGGTATTTAGCCTTTTAACAAAAACACACCCCCAAGCCATTTTCCACTTGCCCCACACTTTTATCTAAATACCATTTATCATGACATTTGCACTAAGAGGTCATGTGACAGTTTTCATGAAAATGAAAGTCATATGATTTTCCCTTCGAAAAATGATTAGTCGCTCATATCCTAAACAAAATAATAGTGATTTGGTTTTTCAAACCCACACCATTTTCTTAAAATGAGTAAGTTCTTAGCTGGTTACATGACCAAAATGTGATTTTTAAAATTATGAATTACCTCCTTCTGAACACAAATTTTGCACTCAAACTTCAACGAAAATGTTGAAAATATGATGTGGTAACATTTACAGCACATCTGAGCGCAACTATCAAACGTTTAACAAGATATAAGCAAAAAGTACTTTTGGCTGGCCCTCCAACATGGCTGCCAATACAAATCATACTACTTTGTTGAAAAATTTAAGTGCCAAGGGTGCAAAGAAAGTCAGTTCTACAGCTTGCCATTCGGGCAAGCTGTAGCTAGCATGTACTAGCCCGAAAGTCATTTCAACTAGCCTGAAAAAGATTTGATGAGCAGGATTGATTACAGTTCTTCTGTAATTTGAATTTCCCTCAAAAAATCACTTGCCCATCGGGCAAGTTAAGAATAGAATTCACTAGCCTGATAGCAAAATCCACTAGCCCCAGGCTATCGGACACCACTTTCTTTGCGTGCTGCATAAAATATCTCCCTTAAATATGCATCCTCTCAAATTTGGGGTGTAAGATAATTTTGGTGCTCTGTCAATTTTTGGCATCAGCAAGATTCAAACTCATTGTTTAATGGAAGCATTGGTCACATGACCATTTAGTGCAAGTGGCCTATTTCTATAAAGCATATAGCATGGACTGGAAAAGCACTTATTTTCTTAAATTAACTCACTAATAAAGAGCTCTGCAGGTTCAATGATTTCTCAAACCGCGACCTAAGTTAGACTTTGTTTAGAAAACTGGCCCTAAAGCTTCACTTAAGAGAAATGTCACTAATCACTGAACGATGACAATTGATGGACAAGAGAGGCCAAAAGATTTGATACTTCTCAGTAAAATGAAACTGTCTTCCAAAAGGAGAGACCACACCACTGAGGTTTTTTGTTGTTCCGCAGAGCACTTAAGGGTAGGAACGAGCTAAGAGTAAGAAGGTACTTTACCTTCTGTTTTGGAGTGGCTACTCCTCCCCAGCCAGGGCCATGGCATTGCTCAGGATTGTCTACTTTGCTTGGTAGGAAATTCTGAAAGCCAGACATGTCTACTTCCATCTTCTCCTTGCATCCGCTGTCTTCTCTTTTCTTTTCCTTTTCACTGTCTGGAACTGGAACGTGGTCTCTATCAGGAAGATGCCACCAAGGATATTTCTTTCCTTTGTCATCATCGTCACCTTTATCATTACCTCCCCCGTTTCCACGTGCACCGAACCCTCCACCACTGCCACTTCCAGCTGAAAAACTCCCACTGCTACTGCCTGAGCCACTGCCACTTCCAGCAGAAGCACTCCCAGCACTACTGCTGTACACACCTGAGTCTTTAGGTTCACCCCTGGCTGGGGAATTTGGAACTTTTCTTTTTGAAGCCCTTTTTGAAGACCGCTGCACATTTTGGAACGTGCCTGGTTCATCCACATTTCTGACTTCAGGGACAGACTGGTTGCGAACACAGCCCCCTGCTTGCCTTTGCTTCCTTGGCTTTACTGATTTACAGGTTTTCTTTCGTTTAGGCTGTACTGCAGGAGGTTCGGGTTCTGTTATGCACCAGACACTTCTTTTCACTCTTTTGACAGCATGCCTGAAAATACACACAACAGAAAAAATAATTAAATTTCATTATCTGTTAACCAGCCAACTGAAAGGACATTTGAGTTAGCATGTGAGATGTGCTCTGTGTTGCACTGAATAATAATAATATTATTGTTGTACCACATGTAAGGGATTGTTTTAGGAATGGGATTCTGAACTAGTTTCCTGTACAACTTTGTAATAGCTGGCAAGAACTGAAACATCCTTAAGACCCTCTAAGTTTCAAGAGTGACCGACATCCATCATCTCCTCACAATATCAAGCCATAGTCAAAAGAAACCGTTATGAAAGTTTATAGAAAGATCACCCAAGGGAAAATTCTTTGATCTTTTATCAAATTCTCTCTATTATTCTTTATGGAAATATATAGAGGCCAGTTAGGACAATTTGTTTGTCAATATTAGGGCTTAAAGGATTACTTATCACTGCAATTCAGAGCCATCTTCTAAGTTTTTCAGCATCTGTCACATAAGAATTTGTACTTTTAAACTGTTATAAACAACAAAGTAAAATACAATAATAAACATACAAACCTTCTGAATAACCTTTTGTTTTTGGTTTCAATGGATTGGTCATCTTCAAGGTTAATTTCTTCAACATAAGACTGGGCACAATCTTCATCACTAGATGATACAGGGTCTTCTCTTGGAGTAAGCTCTGAACTGCTGGGTGATGGAGGAGGAACTTGCACTCGTAGCAAAATCTTCTCAGGTTGAAACTCAACACTCTCTGGTTTAGGAAGAGTCTCTTGAACAGAATATGGGACTACCAGTGGTCCTTCATGAAAGAAGATCTCTTTAGCTTTTAATTCTACAAAAAAAGAGAAAATAAAATAAAATGTTATAAATATGACCAAAACATTTCAGTAGTGCTTCTCAAGATGCATTTTCAAGAGTATAATTTTGTGAAAAAAGGTAAAAAGAACATATAATGAATAACTGCCATGCAATATCATCAACTTCACCTTCGGAAAACAAAAGATGGTTTTGCTTATAAAGCAAGGAGTCACTGAGAACATGAATATCTTAAACAATGTATATTATTTGTGCATAACAGAATTAATTATGATATTATTTGCTGGTTACGTCTTCGTACCAAAAGAGAAACTAGTTCCCAGGACAAAAAAATGAAGCCATAAAAATTTGCAATGCTTCCTCCTTTCAAGACCCCCCACGACTTAGAATCATGTGATTAGAAAAAGAAATTGTCACCAAATTAATAATGCAAATTCACAAAAAGAGCGAAAACACTGTCATTTTAAGCCTTAATCTTAATAAACGCGCACCCCAGACTTTCTTTCAGCTTGAAATGGCTAACATTTAACCAGGAAAGGTGATCAAACAGGAAAACAGATTAAGAAACACTCGAATCGACCTTTGCACATCAGTGAACGCATGCTCTCGCGATCACACCCACGTCTTGTTTGTTTACTCTTCTCGCCTTTCCTTCGTTTTCTTGAGAAGCGATAAATTGTACCAGAAAATACTTACCACATTTCTCGTTCTTTAGTTGAAGTTGTGAGCTTCTTTTAACCGTAAACTTCTCGTACTCAAACAACGAAAAGCTGCCGAAGTTTTCGGAAGTGCTTGAATCGTCGTTTTCAACCGCCGTTTTCTTTACAAATTCCAGTTCCAAGGCGACCTTGCTTTTCGCTTTTTTTCGACTTTCGTCTTCATCCAAGCCACAGCTTACACCTGGCCAAGAAACCTCTGTGTTAAGTGTTTTTGCATTGTTGCAAACGGTGATTGAGGACACTGAAGTCTTCATCACGGAAACAGCCACTGAATGAACACATTCCTCACGCTCGCCGAGCAGTTGAAAGCTCTCTTCTTCGGAACTAAGAGAGCTGACTCTCATAAATCTCGAACTCTGCATATTTTTGAACGGTTCGTCTTGAAAATGGGTAGATTTTGTACAAACCACGTCTGTTTCAAACGGGATATTCGCAAAAGTTTCTAATTCTTGGTCTTTGCGACGAATTAAACATGTCGGAATCGGAGCCATCTTTGTACAAACTGTTTAACGCCCCTCTACTGGCCTTATAATCTCCTTAGTAGTTTCTCGGTGGCTTCTTTGTCACAAAAGATGCGTTTTTTCTTCGAAGGACGAGATAATAAGCACTTTTTCCTTTTTTAAATTGAGAAATTCTGCTTTCAATTCAACAACACGATGCACCTTCGTTGCAGTCGTCGCACTAACATTCCATAAGCCCATAAATGGTAAAATGAAGTAAAATCAGACATTACATCATCTCTTCCTCAGTCCCCAAAGACCATAAACGACTACTTGAATCCAGTCCCTTGTCTTGGCCAGGGGCACCCGGTCCGTGTGGTTTTCGTCCATTTGAATTTCGATTTCAAATTGAAAATTGAAAATCAAAAATTCACAATCGTGATTTTCAATGTTTGATTCCACAATAATTGAAAATCACAAATTTAAAATCTCAATTGTCAATTTTTGTTTCTAAGAAACATAAAATTTCAATGTTTAGAAAATCAAAAATTGAAAATTGAAAATGGTCAGTTGGTGGATTTCAATACTTGTTTTTAAGGAAAAGGAAAACTAAACGATAATCTTCAATTTTGAGATTTTTGCTTGGTACCGAATTTCAATTTCCCATTCCATAGATTCCAGCTTATTAAAAATTCAAACTTGACAAAGCTATTCATGTGTAACGAAACCGCGGGAAACAGTATCAATGATGATGAAATTCGAAATGTAAATCGTTTTTTGATTTTCGTTGTCGAGAAAAACAAAAATTGAAAACAGACCAAATATAACTGTGACGGGTGGGGGAGGGTAAAACCTGAAGTGGCGCGACTGCAAACAAGATGGCGGTCGTCTTGTAGTGAAGGAGTGTTCCATGTCTTCGCCGAGCCCTCTCTGGGGGAAGTGTAACGCCAGCAGCAATCTAAAGCTTGCCGAGACGTTTTCAAAGAAATGATCTGAATGTTTTTTCATTGATAAGTATGCTTTTGTTGTAACCTTGCAGCATTATACGTACGCAACGCAGCTGGGTAGAGCGTTCCAGATCGGCTGCGAACTGTAAATCGAGGTCGGACTGCGGACTGCGGACTACGGACTACGGACCACGGGCTGCGGATTGGGTATATATGAAATACGGACCAGGTATAAAATGCGAACTACGTGTTATGTTTTTAGTCTGATAATATTGTCACTCGACCCTAACCATGTATAACTCCTTTCGCGTTGATGTTAAAGTGTCCCAACTTTTCTCCACGAACTAGCGCGGAAACGCTTGCTACGCAGGCTAGTGTTTCATTAGAATCTTTTTGAGAATCGGAGTTGCAGGATAGAAAGTCGTTACAAACGGCAAAATATTTTGTTTTGGGTTTATTTTATAAAGCCGCATTGCGCGGTTCGAAGCGGAATTCGGCTAGGATTGTTTCCACAAGGTCGTGAGGGTAGCCTCGTTCTGTAAGGCGAGTTAAAATCTCTTTCTTCTTTAACTCCAGTTATCGGGAATTATTCCTTAACCGAGTTCGTTTTGAGTGAGTGCAAGGCTTTTCAATATACGTAGCCCTTCTTAACGATGACAGGGTAAAATGAGGAGAAATTCGCATATTAAAACGTTTTTGTCGGCTTAAATAATGTGTTTGAATCGAATGAATCTTGATCCTTTAAAAACTTCAGTGGTCAAAGAAAACAATTTGTTTTGATGACAGTTCGTCAGTGTAAATTTTATTGTTGAGTAGAAAGAGTTCGCGAAATCAATAAAGTTGTTGATTTCGGTCTCAGGAAGAGTCCACACTGAGAATATGTCATCAATAAATTCCTTCCAGCCGGAGAAATGGCTGTAAGAGCTCGCATGTAGTAGTTGTTTCTCAACGTGAGCCATGAAAATGACCGGGAAAGCAACCGCCATTTTGGTGGTCATTGTAATGCCGTGAGTCTGTACGTAGTGTTTGTTGGTGAATTTTAATTTGGTTTCTGTTAATATCACCCGCATTAAGTCACCCAAATACGAAGTAAGGATAGGTAACTTAGACTGATAATGTTCTTCGTAATGGTGACAGACGATGTCGATTCACTCTTCCTGGGAAATGCTAGAGCAGAGAGAACACACGTTTAGCGTAGCTTAAATTGCTTCATCTGGAAGAGGCGTGTTTTCAATGATGTCACTTTTGTGTGCAGTGTCCTCGAAGTAAGACTCTTGTTTTTGCGCGATTGGCCTGGTAAAAGCGAGTCCACAAAACTAGAAACGCGTTCTTTGGGACCAGCGCTACCAGAGACGATTGGTCTGCCGGCAGGAACTAGTTTTATGTATTTGGTCAGAGTGTAAAACGATGGTATTCTTGGTGATTTTGGCCAAAACTGAGCCACTTGTAAGTCATTTAAGCAATATGCTCGTTTGTGAACAGAGCGTTTATAGTTGATATCTCTTTTGTGGCTGTTTCGGATACAATCGGTTAACGTTCATCTTAGATTTCCAAAACCAGTCCTGCTATTAAAGTTTATCTAAACAGTTCTTATCAAGACTCTGCGGCTACCATTGATTGTTAAAGCCAAATCCCTTCACTTTAACAACAACAAAGGAGTTATACACGGTTAGTGTCGAGTGGCAAAAGTTAGTTTACGCAACAGGACGACAGAAAGAAGAGGACGGCAAAAGGATTGTGTGTGACAAACGTGACAGGGTTATAAATTGCGTGTTTTTCGTGACCTTCACTTCATATTAATGTTTTTTGGTCTTTTACAGAAAGACCTGTTTAAAGGAAGGTGATGTTTGGCGGAAAGTTTTTTCAAACAAAATTATTGTCACTCTTATCACACAAGGTTTGACGTCTTCTTTCCTCTCCCTTCCTGTTGCGTAAGTTCACTAATTATCATTACACTAAGACATAGTTCGTAGTTCGTATTTTATACCTGGTCCGTGTTTTACATATACCCAGTCCGCTGTCCGTGGTCCGCAGTCCGCAGTCCGCAGTCCGCAGTCCGCAGTCCGCAGTCCGCAGTCCGCAGTCCGCAGTCGGCGGTCTCTCTTTTATACTGTCCGAATGCTGCAAGGTTACAACAAAAGCATATTTATCAGTGAAAAAACATTCAGCTTAATTCTTTGAAAACGTGTCGGCCATGATACAAGCAGGCTTTGACTTCCTGTTGGCGTAACATTTCCGCTAGAGACAGCTTGACGAAGACACGCAACACGTAACACTCCTTCACTGCAAGACGACCGCCGTCTTGTTTGCAGTCGCGCCACTTCCGCTTTTACCCTCCCCTCTCGTCACAGGTATTTTTAGTCGGTTGGCAATTTTTTTTTTCATAAAAAGGAAAATCAAAAAAAGATTTTCATTTTGGATTTCACCAGCATTAATTCTGTTTCCCGCAGTTTCTTTACACATGAAATTGCTTTGTCAAGTTTGAATTTTTAATAAGCTTGAATTTAGGGAATAGGAAATTGAAAATACAATTTTAACTTCGGTACCAAGCAAAAATCTCAAAATTGAAGATTATTGTTTAGTTTTCCTTTTCCTTAAAAACAAGAAATAAAAACCACCAACTGACCATTTTCAATTTTCAATTTTTGATTTTCAAAACGTTGAAAATTGTTTTTCAATTTTATGTTTCTTAAAAACAAAAATTGACAATTGAGATTGTAAATTTGTGATTTTCAATTCTTGCGGAATCAAACATTGAAAATCACGATTGTGAATTTTTGATTTTTAATTTTCAATTTGGAATAAAAATTAAATGGACGAAAACCACACGGACCGCACCCAACGTCAATTTTCGGAAAGTATCTGTTCGAAAGACGATTTGAGATCTACAATTTTCGAAAAATTTGTTGCAAAGTTTCTTGCTTGCCTGCCTCTATCCTAGGCTAGGATTTTCGAACATCTAAAAAATAGTATAATAGCCCATTTTTAACGGATTTTTACCTAAAAAGGTCACCTACAATTCTCGGGAGCTTTTTTTCTGGCTGAAATTTTCGGAAAGGTAAGCTTTGAACCCTATAATTTTCGGATCATTTGACTTTTAGCTAGGAAATCCAAGTGGTTTTGAACTATGTTCTTGTTGGGTGCCCCTGAAGCCCTCAATACAATTTATGTGGTAACTGACTTGAAAGCTGAATCTGAAGTTAAGGATCCTGCTGGAATATTCATATTACTTGAAACCTGTATTGGAGCTTGCAAGCCTACAAAAATGAAATAATAAGGCAAACAGTGTACTTTCTGGTTCCAGAAATTCTGAGTTGTTTTCGAAACTTTATAATGGCTTAGTGCTTCTAATACTAGAGTACTGCTCTCCAGTGTGGTTCCCGCATCTAAACAGGGACTTAAACGCCTTGGAGAAAGTACAACGTAGAGCATCCAAACGTGCCCTTGGAAACTTTGGGCGTAACAAGTCCTACGAGGAAGGCCTTATGGTCTTAAAATGGCCAACGCTTGAACAAACAAGATTATTCCTTCAAAATTTTTTTTACGTTTGCACGTCATTTTCGACCTTCAAGAGCTAACCACCGTTCTAAATGAACTTAAGTCTGTGTCTGCGACTTTAAATATTTCAATATCCTTCTTGCATACTTATTAGCACTTAGTTGTGGGAAGCCACCCCAGACGAGCAAGCTCGATGGAGAAGACACGTACGTGCTAATAAAGTAAGCAGAAGGGGCGGGAGGGTGGGGGCGACTCCAACTAAAGTTAATCAAACTGACAACTGTGAATAATTAACACATGCTTATATACAGTCAACTCTCTCTAAGACTGACACCTTTGGGACCTGCACTAGCTGTCCGTCTTAGAGAGATGCCCGTCTTATAGAGAGTCAAATAGAGGGAGGGAAGAAAGTCAGGGACCAACTCTAGGTGTCCGTTTTACAGAGGTGCCCGTCTTATAGAGGTGTCCGTTAAGAGAGTCGACTGTACTATGCGCGAAGTCTAATGAATATTAATAAGGTATAACTAGTTTTAAACATTCTTTTTTAATTCGCATAATTAATATATGGAATAATTTATTCAGTAAAGATGAAGGCGGATTTCTATGTAATAAACGCCGAAGCCACTTTTAGGATCTGTATCTTGCAAAACGAGCTCAGCGTAGGCCTTGGCAACCTGTAATTTCTAAACGCTCTTCTAGCCTGAGAACACGCTTGTTAGGGGAAGGCGGGTTGGGGCGAGTAACGGCAACCAGCGCCAAGAGAGAGGTGCCTTTTCTTCCCCAAAAGGGGCCTAGTTCCTGTTTAACGCTCCCCTGAAATACACCTAGGCTGCGATGATTTTTTTTAGAAAAATAGATGAGACAAGAGACGCCTATACCTTGGTTTGCCAACCTCTTGGTTTAAATTTTATTTTACTTTGTTCCAGACTCGTTATAAAACAGTTATACGCAAAAACAAAGGAAAATAAGAACAAACTATTTGAAACACAGTATATAAAAGTATATTTATCGCTTGACTAAACGAAGAAACGTTTACATAATTCAAATACCTTATGCATTCCAAAACTACCTGAACTTACTTGTCAATTTTACATAGCAAGAAGCTCTTTAATTTGCATCCAAATATAATTATTTTTTACAAAACTATGCTACTTTTATCATAATTTACTATGTTACTTTTATTTTATGGCTTATCTATTCTATTCAGGTACGAGCTATACAGTGTAAGTTTGAATTGGCCTTGCAAGTATATGAAGCCTGTTTAAAAACATGCAACGCACACACTGCGCAGAAAATCGCCCACGCATCCACGTTACACGGTATCAACTTTTAACGCAAAGAAATTGTCGTTAAGAATCGTCCTGTGTAACATCACCTTAAGATACTACAAGGCTTTTAGCTGCATACGCGCGACTTAAACTCGACAACAGGTTTACACCAGTTTTATACTTTTCTTTTTAAAGCTTGTTAAAAATTAAAATAAATAATAATAATAATAATAATAATAATAATAATAACAGTAATAAATAATAATAATAATAATAATAATAATAATAATAATAATAATAATTTTTTTTTTAAAAAAGAGAAAAGAATCTTTATTACAAAACCTCAATTAAAATCCTATTTACAATCAACCTGCTGTTACAAAAAATCTAATTAATTCATCAAAAACACTATCTACAATTCCATCCGTTACAAAAGAAACCCCTCGTCCTTCATTAGAGAACAAAAACAATCCTATATATTATAAGTGAAGATAGAAAAAACTATTCATTTACAAATTCTAAAAAATAGAAGTAACTTAACCTTACATAAAAGAAGAGGAAATAGATATAATTAATAATAATAATAATAATAATAATAATAATAATAATAATAATAATAACAATAATAATAATAATAATAATAATAATAATAATAACAAAAGTGGTGCCAGTGGTTGTAGGTGCATTGGGTTCAGTGTCAAAGAAGCTGGCAGGTCACTTAGAGCAACTAGGAATTAAACCGAACAAGAACGATGCAAAAGTCGGCACTCGGATCGGTACATATCCTCAGAAAGGTGCTGGAAGTCTGAGGTCTCGGGATGAGACTTGACTGGATATTTCTCCCCAGGGAAAATCCCTGTGCTAAATTTTACATAATAATAATAATAATAATAATAAAACAGTTTTACACTTGTTAGTCACCCAAGCAGCCGTCTTTTCTTGTCTTGAGACAAAAACAGCTCCGTGGGAGACTATCTACCTGTCGATTTCGCTAGGTGGGAGGTCGCTATCTACATCCTAGGTCCGCTATGTAATGGCAAAACAGGAAACTTGCACCTTTGATGCGGCAGGGAGAAGGGAAAATACAACAGGTTATACCAGACAATACCCTCTCAAAGGTCTAAAGAAAAGAATGCATAGCGAATGTGTAGCGAAATAGCACGTAGCGAAACCAAACAGTAATCTATATTGGTGCTACACTATGTCCTACTCATGAAGCGACTTAGCTGAGCTACAAGCAAGGTAACGGATCACTGTTTAGAGACCTATAAGAAAGAGAAACAACAGAATAGTCAGAAATACCAGAGCACGAAAACCTCACCAATTAAATCAGGCTTTAACGTCAATTCTAACAATATTACCTATAATTACGGACAATTTTGCAGTCTAACAAGGAGGAGGCCGTGGGACGGAGCATTGGATCCTCCTGTGAAGACATAAAATAGCAACAACTTATTCCGTTATCAGCAACGTGTAAAAAATTCGAACGTCGTACGCAAAACGAATAATGGAGCTGCACTATTTTACAGCATGATACGGAGAAGTGCAACGTCACGCTACCATTCACCTGTTTAGAAACGAGAAAGAACCTGGGCTGAGTTGACTTTCGCAAAGACTTCTGGGACTGTTAATGATATATGAAATAAATCATATTTGAACTGCGGAAATGAAATGAAAATGAAGAAATGATCGTCGCAGTGAACGCAATTTATGCAATTGCGTAAAGAAGCCTGAAAAAAATTCAGGACTTCAACGGGGTTTGAACTCTTGACCTCGCGATTACCGGTGCGATGGGACTGGGACTGTTACAAGGAACAAGAAAAAAATAAGCCAATAGCTGACAAGCGCGTCATCAGTAACGATCCCAGAAATAATTGCGAGAAGCATTTCGACTCCAGTTCCCTTCTCGTTTCTAAAGTGGCGACGGTAGCAAAGTTTCCGAATCTCAACNTGTTACAAGGAACAAGAAAAAAATAAGCCAATAGCTGACAAGCGCGTCATCAGTAACGATCCCAGAAATAATTGCGAGAAGCATTTCGACTCCAGTTCCCTTCTCGTTTCTAAAGTGGCGACGGTAGCAAAGTTTCCGAATCTCAACAATCTTTCTTGACAGAGACGGCCATTTGCTTTGTCGATGGAAGGAAAGTATGGGCTACTGTTTTGTTTCGGAGTGTAATGATGCACAAGAAAGACATACATGTCATTTTTATCGTTTTTTTCTGCCATATTTGCCGGACCACGGTTTGTTGAGATCCACAAATTTTGCTACTATGGCAACGTGACGCAACGACTTTTCTGTATGAGGGTGTGGCAATATCGATATGGAAATATAATATGTAATTAAAGCTGAAGCTGTGTCGGTGTTATGTCTAATTACACCGTAAAACTGTTTATGGGGAAAGAGGATACCTATCATTTTCTTACTGACAGCAGGTAGGGTAGCCAAGCGATTAGAGCGGAATCCGGAAGCACATGCTTGTTAAGACAGAGGTCCCTATTTTCTCCCTTGCATCCAGAACCCCCCTCCCCCCCCCCGCCCCCCGAGCTTGGTCGCAGGCTAGTAGACGGCAAGAATGAAGATGCAGGCCACTTTCACACATTTACATTAGCACTAAAGGGAAAAATGTTTTCACCTGTACACATCCTCTCACTAACTTTGCCAAGTCAGGATATTTGGCTTCTAACTCGTCAATCTGTTTAAACAATAATATACTAACATTGTACATCACATACGTAGGTTAACAACAGTTGTATATAATACTGAAGTAGGGGAACAGGTCACAACAGGCGGACCCAACAAGGACCCATCTTACCCAGGGGTGGGTGGGGAGGTATATAAGACATCACCCATCCGATGAGCCTGATAGACCAAAATTTTAGGACTGAAATCTGAGAGGCGAGGACTTTCTGTACACGGAGGATTTATTGTCAGGCAAATAGCACAGGGACATTGAATTCTTATAAGTGATGCTGAGGGGGCTGTGCAATGGATGCATAAAGACCCTTGTTTGCTTTCCCTGAGTAAAATAGGTTGGACCAAGAGATCATAATAGAATCCGATTATGATCTCTTAGTTTGACCAATATCACAATATTACACTCAACAACTCCTGAGGGCGTCTACCAGAATTCAGAACTGACCAGCCAGATCCCTCAGTTTGAAAACGAAATAGGCTTTTTTGATAGTTTTCGCTTTAAGACTTGCCATGATGGTGCAAAGAAAGTCAGTTTTACAGCTTGCCATTCAGGCAAGCTGTAGCTAGCAAGTACTAGCCCAAAATTCATTTCAGCTAGCCCCCAAAATTTTTTGATGAGCAGGATTGATTACACAGTTTTTCTGTAATTTGAATTCCTCAACAACTTTGTTTCCCCATCATGCAAGTTAAGAAGAGAAATCACTAGCCCGATAGCAAAATCCACTAGCCCCAAGCTATCAGACACTACTTTCTTTGCACGCTGTTGCCATTCAAAATTCTCTTTTCAGATCGACTGGTTTGGCTAGCTAGAAATGGTAAGTGCTCTGAGTAAAATATATTATTGGACGAAAAGTGAGAACCAACGACAGGGAGAACATGCGCAAAACAAATAAATACAAAGGATTAAATGTTTATTACATCATGAAAAAAAGGCAAAAGAAAAATCTGTGTCCTGATTCTGCGGCAAGGAAAATGGATAATTCCACAGTAAAATTTCATTTCAGAAGATGAGGAAGAATACTGGCATTTGTGCTGAAATCAGGACAGTTTATAGCGAATCATAACTGAGGATTTTGTTATACATGTAGCTATGACTAGTTGTGAAACTGTAAACCATGTGCATATATACCTTCAGTACCAATGATGTTGGATCTTCAGAGGGAGCTCCTACTGTTAGCTCAAGCAAAAGCACGCCCAAGCTAAACACATCTGCTGGCCTCCCATGAGGCTTCATTGCCATCACCTACAAAAGTTTTATATTTCATCATACAGGATTCTAGCAGTAGTGAAATGTGTCCTACCCTTTAGGGGGGGGGGAGGGGTTACTGCCATATATGGGATATTTATATATATATACGTATGTGCTACAGTGAAGGGTATGGTTTTCAAGGAACTTTGTCTGGGATAGGGTGAAGAAATCAGAGAGTTAAGAATCAGCATAGGGGTCATTTTCCATAAAACTGATCATTTGGTTGAAGACAAGGGAAACCAGGAAATGACACTCAAAAAAAGGCAAATCTTAAATTACCTGTTTAATAGAAAAGAAAGCATTGACCTCAATAATTTCTGGGGGAAGCTGGGCAAAATCCAGCTGAACTACGGTAGGTCTGGTATAAGCTAAGGGTACTGGTGTCCCAAACATTCCTAAAGGAACCTTCCCTGGGGTCCCATGTACAGAGTAGGTATCCTAGCTTGCAGCTCAGTATCTGAGGCACCGGACCCATAAGATGGGTGTGAATGCAATTGAGGGCTCGAATTTCTGTGTATCTCACTTGACTCATGACACAATAATCGAGCATTACATTCTTTTCTTTTTTGTTATGTGCGTGATTAAAGTCAGACTTTTAACCAATCCTCAACCTTAAATCAACTATTCTTAAAAGAAATGTATGGAGATAAGTCTGGAGAATTTGTATGTGGATCTTGGGACATAAAGGGTTAAGTCGTATCTGTACATGCTGGAACACAGGGAAATCCCTAGAGGCCTGACATAAAGAGACTATACATTACAGTGGGTACAGTACAAGTCAAATGAGCTTGATAACAAGGACAATGCTTTTTTAAACTCTTCAGTCTCTTCTTTTTGTAGAAATAACAGTTCTAATGATTACTACTTGGCACGAGTATTAAGTTAACATAGTACACGATGCTCTTTAAAATAGAACAGTTCATATCACATTGCCAGCAACACCAGTACATTTTTCTTCTCTTAAAACTGATTTGTAAGAAATTCTTTGCAAGCCTTTAACAACTTTCTATTACTGTTAACAGAAGGTTATTGTTTCCTTTCAACTTTGCTCCTTGTAATGTTGCCATACACATTGAAAGAAAGGCATGCATCACATTAATGAAAGTACTTGTCATGTACATGGTTTCCTTTTATACCTGCTGAAAAATTCATTTTCCCTTCATTTCAAATTCGTTATCAGAAATTATAATCAGATTACCATTTCCTGAAAAAGAGTGAAATAATTTGCAATGGCGTGAAGGGTAAATTAAACCACAGCATAAAACATTCATAAAGGGTTACATTATTATTAATGCCAAACGACATGAGATGCTGGCATACAACAGGTTGCTCAAGAGGGAAGAGCAACATAACTTAATTTGATTTTTAAGTTGCTTAATTAGGTAAACTAATTGGTTTAATACCTCAAGTGCAGCAAAGCCCCTTGTGCCTCGAGGGTGAAGCCCTGCCTCCGTCATCTCCTCTGTAAGTATTTTGGCCGTGTCAAAATCACCCACCTTAGCAACATTACCCTTTCGCATTATGTTTTTTGCTGCAAAAACACAAAACAAACTGATTGTAGTGGAACCTGCTTAATATGTCACATACCAAAGTGTCAGTGTCAGTTAATCAAGCAGGTTCAAACAATGTCAAGAAAATTAACAAAGCAGAAAAGCATAAAAAAAACAATGTTTTGTTTAAGCTAAACAGTAAACTGTAACTACATGCATAATGCAAACTGAATAGAACTTTGCTTGTTCATTCATTTCATAATGAAGTATTCACTAAGTGATTTAAAATCAACAATGCAATCATTTAAAATGTCAAGGACTATGTTTCAGTTCACGTTTTAGCCAGGTAGAGGGAACATTATTAAGTGAAACCTTTGAGAGATTACTGACCGCATGGACACATTAGGTAATAATAATGTTTCAGCCCTAAACACCCGCAAGTAATATAATAATAAAAATAATTAATAATAATGTAATAATAGTAATAACAATAATAACAACAACAATGATAACAGCAATAAGATAACATACAGAACACCTCTGATAACTTATTTTACCTTTGAGATCTTTATGAATAATTCCTAGGCTATGCAAATAGCAGACTGCTATAAGTACTTGAATAAAAAAATTCATGGCCTCTTTGTCCGTAAGCCTTCGGTTTAATTCCTTAATGTAGGTAAAGAGGCTACCATCTGCCAACAAAAAACATAGCAGGTGATCAGCCATGTCTAAGTTATGGTTAAGTCATTTGTAAGTTGTTAAGTGTACAGGAGTTAACCTTTAAGCCCCAAAAGTGACCAGCTTCTAATTTCTCCAGAAAATATTGTTGAATCAAACACAGAAGTAATGAGAAAATAAAATGATCACCAAAAAATGGAATATATTCATGTTTGAACAAATTCTCTCAAATAGATCTCACCTTAAGAAAGTTAGCAGGGACCTTTAAGATCCAACGACGGTGAAGGCAACGGGAACATCAAAAAAGCAAAAGGTTAAGATTAGCAAAACAACAACTTTGCACATGCATCACTCTTTTTTGTACATTTCTTTGCCGTCACTGCATGACTACGACGTGAAAATTTCTTATTTCAAATTTTATGGAGGATGTAAACAAGCTACTACGAAATTTTCTTTCTCATTCTAAATCTGAATATGGTTTTTAGGAATTCCACTCCTGGAGAGTTTGCCTACATTTGACAAAGCAAATGAGTTGGAACTGTCGCGATGAAGACTGGATGAATGCCAATTCACTTTTTAAGCAATGTTTTTGCCGCCATCGCCGTCCTCGGATCTTAAGGTCCCTAGTACAGAGTATGGGGAGGACTGAATGAGGAGAATACGCATGTTGATAGGGAGGTTAATATAAGCAGTCCAAGTTCAGTTAAATATTATTGTATCCTCTGTTGATTTGGGTTAAACAGTTCTTAACTGAATAAAAGACCAAACAATCTTGCAGTCATGACCATTTTCTGGTCCTTTATCAGCCTCCAGTAAAAAAAGCATTGTAATCAACAGATAAACTCAAACAACATGAGAAGAACATACCACAAAGCTCCATGAAAATGTTAACCTTTTTGTGTTCACCGCTGAAAGCTACTGCATAATGAGTAACAAGGTGTGGGTGGTCTTCTAATTTTTCATACACCTTTACTTCCTCTACGCTAAAATTTGTCTGGAGTAAAAAGAGAGACAATAATAAAGTGGAAATAAGAAAAGTTAAGATGTGTAGCTGGTACAAATAAAGTAATAGAAAAGAAAGCTTTTTTTGCTCAAAATAGAAATTCGAAAATAGAAGTCCATTTTGCAAGAACATAGTCAGATCACAAGGTTCCTTATTGCCATGGCCATTACATAAGTAACAGAAGTTTACCTTTTTTATAGCAAACTCTTCTCTTGTGCCTGATTCCAAGTACCAGTAAGCCGGGTACACAGTTCCATTTACACCAGCTCCCAGGCTTTGACTCCTTTGAACATGATAATCTTCATGTTCTTTAACCTTTTTGACCGGGCGGTCACGCTTAGGATGCTGAGAAGAGAATTAAGAGAACCGAGCTTTACCTAAAAAGTAGAAAATGGGCCTCAGGGAGCTGGCTAACAGCATTTTTGTATCAATAGTGCACTTGTACAACAGGACAGCTAATGTAGATTTCCCCCCACCCCCCCACAATGTTAAGTCCAGGAAATTATCCTTGTACACATACAAGTTTAGTTCAACATTGAATGTGAGGTGGGGAGGGGATGAGATAGAAAGCCTTACTTTTTCATGATTGTGGCTATTTTCATTAGAGAATGGGATTTTATTCAAGACCTTCCACACAAATGAAACAACCTCCCCGAAATTTGGTTAACCCCACCAAATTGTGGGTTAATTGTCTCAAAGAAAGGGTATGGGCACACATTGTTTCTTCATGCAATACTTTCCATGGAATTGAATTCAGTCATTCAGAGTTAAGTCATTTCGTAAATTATAATAAATTACCCAAAATAGAACTGTGCCACAATATGGATTTTCGCTTGATAAGCCATCATCTGCACTGGTCGATTTCTGGCGCTGACTTTTGCGTTTCCCTGGTGTGAGTAAATTGTTTCCTCTACCCAAGGCACACGTTAATAGCGCAGGAACTTTCTGTACAACTTTATGCCTGGGAACAGGATACCCAACATTTCCACGATTCCTTTAAAGAACATAATGTATTAATTATTTTGGTCAACATCAACCCTTACTCATAAGAAATAGGTAAAAAATAGGTTATTCCATGGAATAGATGATGATAAAGTAATATTATTGTGTAGAACTGCTTGATACCAAATTAATATCAGGAGCCTTAATTTTGGTCAACTGTTCATCAAAAGATAATGGTCTTCCACAAATGATTGATTGCACTTATCTACGATGCCAAGAAACTGCCACTTATTCACTGTAAGCTAACAGTTTTTTGAGGGAAGCTTTTTCATACAAAAAGTTGTCTATGTGCATAGTGTACATGTAGTTACCTAGTACTTTCACAGCCTGGAACTCGACATGTCCCTCGCATCTGACATGTCTGTGCATGGTGCTGTATAACTGACAACAGGTACTCACATCGTGTACACTGTCTTGCTTGATGTGTTCTAAAGTGTTTTATTTCTGTCTTCACCTGTTGAACAAAATACACGAGAATTAACATTTGTAATTACAAAAAATTTGATATAAAATGAACACACCTTCTGCTGTTCGTTACAAGAAAATATGCAATCATTTGCATGAAATGGTGATTAATAGTGCGAAGATACATTCATTAGCACGAAAATATGAACATTTGTGCATAAATCAGATTCAATTATGATTTTTGCATTTTAGTCAAGATTCAATAACACTTTTGGGCATTTATACGCGCCATTTGGCATGCAAAAGAGAAAAATATACTTTCATTACTGCCAACATCAAAGTCATTAACACCATCTTGAAAGTCAGTAGGGACAACAGACAAACATTATAATGCAAACACTATTCATTATCATTTTTATGACACTGTTTATAATTCAATAGCATTCCTGGACAACCTTAGGATGGATAAGACAAACATTAATGCACTTGTACAATCAATTGAGCGTTCTTTACATTTAATACACAAAAATTGATTGTCAATTAAACAATACCCATTCCAAAAAAATTGGCCTGAATTTTTACGCTACTTGGTTTAAAGAACCACACCGTCCTGCACCAATTTGTGTTCGCCGACAACTGCGGCTATACATTCACCATTTGGTATGTATTCATGGTAGGGTGTGACAGGGAGAGGGGACGTAAAGCCAAGTGTGCGGCCAATGAGGACAAGACTTGACTTCATGTATACGACTGTGGCAATATAACCTATAAAGAAGTTGGTGTAATGAAAGCTGCACGTTTTGGTTTCTTCCTGGTACAGGCAAGGACAAATATGGATACCAACAAGTTGGTGATCTTTACGTATGACAGAGTGCCAGCCTACCGTGTTTCGGCCACTCCTCCCGCCCCATAAGTACAAAGCTTATGCTTCCAACCCCCCTCTCGACATTGTGGAACAGGTGCAAAAACTGTTTAAAAGCAAGAATCAAGGCCAACATCTCGTGTCCAAAAATTTATAGAAGTAATGAGGCCAAAGTCCTAGGAATCCCACTAGGGGAGTTCAAACACAACAACTGCAGTGCTTGAAGCTCTGTGCAGAAATATAGACAGTGTGACCACAGCTAAATGTGCTAAGGGTACCATTTCATAAACCTACCTGCCAAAATGTTTAAATAGTTTAAGTATTAAATGTAAAGAACACTCAATTGATTGTACAAGCACATTAATGTTTGTCTTATCCATCCCAAGGTTGTCCAGGAATGCTATTGAATTGCAAACATTGTCATAAAAATGATAATGAATAGTGTTTGCACTATTTTTGTCTGCTGTCCCTATTGACTTTCAAGATGGTGTTAATGACTTTGATGTTGGCATTAATGAAAGAATATATATATTTTTCTCTTTTGTATGCCGAATGACGAGTATCACTGAATGCCCAAAAGTGTTGTTGAATGTTGATTAAAATGCAAAAATCATAATTGAATGTGATTTCTGGGCAAATGTTCGTATTTTCGAGCTAATGAATGTATCTTTGCACTATCAGTCACTGTTTCACCCAAATGATTGCGTATTTTGTTGTAATGAACAGCAAAAGGTGTAGTAAGGGAATCAAAAGAAAGCTAAAACTGTTAAGTATGGATTGAAACTGTTAATAGTTGTAACTAATAACCACAACTTACAACTCTACATTTCTTGTTGTAACAATTTAGTTTCCTACAGTATGACCCATGCAGTAGGTCTGCAGGGGAAACGTCAACCTTAAATGAGAAAATGATAAGAGACAGATATAAGAACTTCATCATGACAGCCAATGCTAAATATTAATTAGATAAAAAGTCTATCCTACTTGGCATTAATCACTTTAATTTCAGTTTAGTCACAGAGTGGATGAGAAGGTAAACACATGTTTCACAACCACCTGAAGGGGGGGGGGGGGGGAAGGGGAAAGACCCCCAAAAGAAAAGGGAAGGGAGGTTTGTCAGAAAAATAAAAATAAAATGCTGTGGGGTAAATTTAAATTAATAAAAAGGCTTTCCTTCTTTGGATTTAATACTTTTAATTTAATTTTAGCACAGGGGGGGAGGGGAAGGAAAAAAATGGTTTCAAAACCCCTGGAGGGGGGGGGGGGGAGGAAGGGGAGAGACTCCCATATGAAAGTGACAGGGATGTTTGTCAGAAAATTAAAATTAAACTGCTGTGGGTGTGGCCCAAGCTTAAACTGACCATACTAAAATAGAGGTCTACATAAGAGCTAAGGATCTAAATATGTGCCAGGGATGTCGTGTTCTTTTTTAGACACTATATTTCTGTGCAGTCAATGACAGCGGTTTGGGCAAATTTCTTTATAAACAGCCCCAAGCGATACCTGAATGGGCAAATAAAGTGCCTTTCCATCTCAAACACCCTAAGTGACACCAAAATCTGCAATTTACAACCCTAAGCAAGATGGTGAGCATCTCCATTATTTTTATGTGAGAGTCTACCCCTTCCCCCCCACCAAGTTTACAACATGTTTTTGAGAATTATTGTGACGTTATCACCATATTTTTTAGTTTACTTTTATTTCACTTCTGGTCCATGCGCGGTTATGTCATTGTTTTACCATGACAACGGATCTTGAAAGGCCGTGCTTTTTGGTTTTGTCTTTTCGCAGCTTGTAAGTTGTTTTGATTAAACAAGTTTAGTTCACGTTCTTCCTCTGTTCTTCTTACCAACAACTTTACAATAATTATTATAATAATAATAATGACCTTGAGGCCTTCCATATTGTACTGCTCAGCAATGTCCAATGCAACAATGTAACTATCTTCAGTATACTCTTCCACCTTCATCTTGGCCTGGTGTTCATTATTGTCTTCTTTCTTCCCCTCTATGCTCCTGATGGCTGCACGGTTGGTTTCTCCACAGGTTGGAACAAGATTTTCAGCTCTTTAGAAAAGGATAAATCAAATACTGTTTATTAATAAACCAGTGTTGATCAAAAGAGTTATGTTGGAAAGAAAATTAGGCCATTTTTTTCAAAATGCCATTGAAGGTCATTGTTGATAAAAAGGGTCATCTTTGAGATAAATTTAGGCTGTTTCTTTCATTTGAAATTGCTTTAAATGTATTATTTTTTAAATGCAGTCAAGATGAAGCAAATCTTGCTTTCTGATTGGCTAAATGAACTGGAACAATAGGCCTATCTTGAGCACTCAGGATTTTCTGTGTTTGTTCTGCAAGCAAAAGTTCTCTTTTTGGTGAGAATATAAACTTGTTTCATCAAGATGGCTGCTTATTGTCTTTTTGGATCATTATACATTTCCGGGAAACTGCCAACCTAACCCTCCCCAGTGTTCCAGATAAGAGATAAGTCTTGTGGGTCAATGGCCTCACAAAGAAGGTTTCCTGACCTGACAGATGACATGTAAGTGTTAGTTAAATATAACGAAAAAAATTAGCACATGGTCTTGGTGACCCCCCGCTTGAAAGAATTAACTGGAATGCTGCCTCCCCTAAGCTAACATTAACACTTACTTTTTGCTTAGGGCAAAGTGTTGGCTTAGGGAGGGGTAGGTGGGCAGTTTCCCAGAAAGTATAATGATCTGTCTTTTCTTGGACCATTAAAATGAAAAAAAACTATCCATCTTGACCTAAATGTAATTCTTGGTCAGTAAAGCGTATGTGTTACAGGTCAAAATTAAATTCTGGTTACAGTGTAATAATAACTTCAAAAACCTCCCCCACACTCAAGTTTAAGGATTGAGAAACCAGTACTGAGGAAAGTCTGTGGACATGCAAGACCTTAATAATTAATGCAATGTGGATTTTGTATGTTATTCAATCACCTGATTCTGTCGCAGTGTTCAACCCAACATCCTGGAAATTTACACTGTTTTGAATGTTCTTCAATAACAGCACTCACAGTTTTGCAGCTTAAACATTTTTCCCATCCTGGATGGTTTTTCATGTGATATTTAAGTTGATCTTTAACCTGTCAGATATACATGGGAAACCTTCAATTAAAATTAAATGAATTTACTGTAAGTATGATCATGGGGAACAACGAACTTCTAATACAGGTTAAAAACAACTTTTAAAGTGAGCAATGAAAACAACTGATAAATACTTCATACTAAAGAAAGTACAAAAGAAATGAATGATTGTGTGTATAAAAATTTAAACAAAACATAGCCATGGTATTAGCTCCATTTTATTCCAGAAAAATTTATATAAACCCTAGAATTACTTGAAAAATACAACAGTAGCTTTATTCCGGCTGCAATATCAATTTGCAATTCAATGTTTTGTCACAACAGTAAAATTTGCAAATGTCACGTGTTATTTTGAAACCAGTTCTTACAGTGTAGCTGCTGTTCAAAACACGCAACTTTTAACAACAGCCAGTTTATTTGTCTCTCGACACACGAAAAGTCAAAATTACAGAAAATCAGTGCTAGTCTAGGACATTTATTTCATTTAAGGTTGTTTTCACAGGAGAGATGTAAACTGCAGTTGGAAAAGTCCTGAGAAACATTACTCTTGGCCAGCAGTTTTGAATGGAGTGGCCCATGTTCTATAGGCGAAGCCTTCGAAAGTGGAAGGGTTAGTGACTTTAAGGGATCAAATTGCTGAATTTCATTGCATAATTAAATGTGTTTTGTGTCTAATTAAGCTGCATTGTGCTGATTTCTTCCCCCCTCTGTCACTCCCTTTGAGGTGTAAGTGTATACTGTGTTCTATTTCTCCTGATCTACTTGGTTTGTGTGAAGGTGATGGTGGTGGTTGCCACTCAATGGTTGCCATGAATATATTGTGTTTGTCTCTTATGCACTTGGCACGGACATCCTCTAGGGCACCTCGACCCAATCTCATCTACTGTTGATGAGTTTAAATATCATTAGAGATGTTCATGTGTGTGCTTATTATACTGAGTACACTAATAAAATGATGACTAGCATGGAGATGTGATTACATGTATGTGTTACAGGTCTTATTTGATTTCATGTCTATTTTTTTCAACCTAGGTTGATTCTCAACTTCCTTTGTCCTCTAGCCCTAATTATTCGTGAACAAGAATGCTCTTAAAGCAGCATTCAGTTTCGCTTGCTTGGAGATTAGATCAAAAAATAAGGAAGCGATTAATTCTACACGAAACAGGATTTACTCGCTCAAGGTTTTTTACTTCCTACTTTATCGACGTGGATAATTTTTATTTGTTTCTGAATCAATTTAGTACATGGAAATACACCCGCGGACGCAGGCTAAACGCATGTATAAATACACGAAAATTCAAGGGCCTCGATTCCAGAGAAATTACATCATTGCCAGAGATAAAAAAGTGATTTACATGGCACGTCATTTCAATCATCGCCGAAAATAAATGGCATGCTCATCACAAGACCATTTCCCTACAATGAAAGCTATAACAACACCCAGCCATCGCAGTTTTGCTAATAATTTAAGATTCTTTTTTATGACCACTCAGTAGTGTTCACTTGTTCCAAAGTAATACACACTTTCAAGCTATAGAATTCGTGGACCGACATATTTCGGAAAAGCTCTAAATTTTATCTTTCCTAAGCTTTCTTTGCAAAACATGCGTGGCTTTGATCATGCAACGATTCTTAGTCCCCAGTTTCCATGGTCTCCGCAAGGAACGCCTGGCACAACCCGTACCAAAATTAACGCTCTAGCCAGAAGGTAAATTGGGCCATAATTTTCAGCCAAACCCAGGCCGAAATAAACCAAAATAGGGCCTTAAAAAGTTCAACCAAAGATGAACCAAAACGAGCCTCACTGAAACGTAAATATTTGAGCCACAAAATAAACCAAAATAGAACCCAAATCCTAACTACACTCCAGTGATGCAAAAACTGGGCCAAAATTGGGCCCAAATTATGCTGTCATTTTGGCTGAACGGTAACACGATAATGACCGCTGTCTGCACGCTGCATATTTCTGTAATCCGGTTCGAGCTAAATTAGGCCACATTTGGGCCAAAATTACGCTGTAATTGAGGCTGAGATCCAACCATTTTTTGGTCAAGATTTCGCTCAACAGTAACTCGACACCGGCAAACTCGAGATTGCGTGCCAAATGTACATTTTCAAGGTAGATAAATAGATAAGCAGGCTAAAGTTAGTATAAATAATTGACAAACGTTTGTATGAAAATCGCCACAAATGAAACATCAACTGGATTTTTAATGCAGTATAGCAAATTTAAATACATTGCTACCAGAATTTTTCTACCAAAAATATTACATCAAAGAACGAAACCGGGTCACGCGTCGTTTTGAATGTATAAATCATGAATTCACATCACGTACAAATTAAAGTCCACTTGCTACAGACTGTTCGTGCATTTCTTATTTTGGTTCAGTCAGGCCATAAGATTTCGTACGGGAATGATCCCCTTTTGTGTTCTAAATACGACGAAAAATGCGTCGCAGATAATGAGTCTTGCTGCTTACGCAAGCGAGACTAATTAAGGCTAGGAAACAGAGGAAATTGAGAATCAACCTAGGTTAAATCAAATTTAACCTGAAATCAAATTTGACCTGTAACATGTGTCATATTTATAGGCATTAGCACGAAATCCTCTGGGTGGAATCTCTTAAGAGATTGAAGTATAGTCAACCCTCTCTAATCCACACACCCTTGGGACCAGCAATAAGTGTCTGTCTTGGAGAGAGTCACATAAAGGGAGTAAAGAAAGAGAGGGACCAACGCTAGGTGTCCATTTTACAGAGGTGTCCGTCTTATAGAGGTGTCTGTTAAAAGAGAGTTGACTGTACTTTAAAACCAACTCACGTATTTGCATTTCTTCTTGGGACAGTCTTTTAAATGACAGTAAGTCGAATGATCAAGTTCAGCAAGTGAAATATCAAACTGCAATAAAATAATACACAAACATTTCTGTCATTGAAGACACCTGTGTGTAAATAAAACATGCTGACACTGCCCTTTTACCTCATATTCAACCCTTCCTTTCAAAGTCATGATTGTAAAACCAAAATGTGCTGTAAGAAGGCAATATTCAGGGATGACACTTAGAGGTGACAGCTGGCTATTTTCACCCACTGGTATAGAGCTTACTACCATATCATCTCAAATAATTGAGACAGTCGTGAGCTCCAACCTTGTTCCAAACACAAAGACATGGGGCAACTATTGAAGGCATGTTCAGCAAAAACACCGGCTTGACTAATAAAAAAAGCCTAGTTATCTTTTCCTTAGCTACGTGTACATCTCTGCAATGTGACCCCTCCACCACTTTCCCCAAAAAACATTAAAAACAAATTAAAAAAAAAAAAAAATAGATAAGTACCCATTTGTTTGTTTGTTTGGAGGATACAAAAAGAGGTTCATGTTGAACACTTTTGGTCATTAACCCTTTAACCCATACATGTAGAAGTGACCAATGTTTTTGGTGTACAATTTCTCTTAGAAATACCATTTCTCAATCACACATTGAGGTCAGGAGAATAAACTTAATGATCACCACATAGTTAATGACCATCGAAAAATAACACTTCAGGTCCATCAGTACTAGTACATTAGGAAATGTATGCTGATATTGGGGCTTGAGGCCCTAAGTAACTCTTAATCTTATGTCAAATCTTTTCTGTTTCACAAGACAAAACAAGGAAATTTGTGATGTTAGTGGCCAATCAGAAATCACCTTACTTACTTTTTGAGATACATGTACATGTACCATTCAGTGATAATACATGTGTTATACACATGTATGTATACACAGGAAAGATAAAAAGTTACAGCAATGTCATTTGCTAACAAGTTCTCCATAGTTACTGATCATTTTCTAGGAAAGTATTATCACTATAGATCTGAGAGAGTCATTGGCTTCAAAAGCTTGTTTTGCTGCACTTAAACTTGTTAAAATAAATCATTATTACAAAAATCATGCAAACACAAATGAGTAACAATTTTTTTGCTTACTTTTCAAACTGTAGTTTGGTACCTTGTATACAGTACCATTCAAAAGTAAGTTGACACTCGATTCTCAATCATCGCAAAAATTGAGAATCTTAAACCTTAAAAATGTTCAAATGGCATTTTGCAACATTTGAACAGCAAAAGTTGCCGGTTCACTAGCAAACCATGACTTTTTATCTGTAAAATCCAAAATAAGAGGAATCGTTGTGTAAAAAAATGTTTAATACACGGCGGTGTGTAAAAAACGTCTCAAGGCGCTTATCGTTGCTTTTGTTCTTCAGCTTGTATTTAAAATTCTACTTGCCAATTTTTTTGATTGCCTGTTTGTGAATGCCTATTGGCCCTATCGTGGATGAATGTCTGCTCATTGGTGTCAGGGTGTTTTTCGCTGGAAACTTTACTTGTAATTTGAACTCTTGACCCGAATTGCTGTTTTCGCAATACGCGATAGCATCTCAGTTTGATATTTTGCCCTTCATTTTTTATAGGACATTATTGTGTTCATAAAGGTTTCGCTTTGAATATACATGCCAGAAAAATTCAGAATCCTCCAAGAGCTTTGAAAACAATTTTTAGTATTGCACAACACAATCCCCTCATGCAATTTTTCCTCACCGTTGCAGTCATGTGCTAGGCAACAATAACGTTCACTTGTATCATATTCCATCGTGGGAAAAAGCGGCCCAATTATTCGAGAGATTACCTAGTAGAATTAAAACCATTGTTTCTTGAAAGTTTTCAAGGATGATGAAAGCAATTTCAGAGAAAAAGATTAGTCACGTTACAGACGGATGTGTATGTTTAAGAGCTGATCTTTATCAAGCCAAGCAGCTGGATAAGCCCAGAATCTTTTGACATTACAAAATAAACATGTTGTTGCTTATACACGAGTATACACTGTTTTTTTGCCTTTGGAGCAGGCATTTGAAACTTTACTTGAGGAAATGAAGCTTGATACAGTCGCTAACACAACACGGCATGCTTATATTCATGCTACAGCTGTATGTCTAACCTTTGTAAAATTATCGAGAAATCAGTCATGGGTGAATCTTTTGTTTTTTGTCCTGTGAGAATCGATCCTCGACTTGATTCTTGATAGCTTGTTCTCGATTCTCAATTCACGCTGGAATCAAGAATCGAGTCAAGAATTGAGACTCGCAATAGACTATCAACTTACTTTTGAACGGTACAGTACATTTGTAGCAGTGTACAACAAAAAGATGGTAGTACCTGCAAGCCTGTGCTGGTTATTTCACATTTTTTGTGTACCTCCATCTTGTCTTCTCCACCATTATCATTGTGGTCATCATTATCATCTTCATCATCATCATCATAATCTTCATCATCAACATCATCATCATCATCATCATTATCTTCAACATCATCAATTCCATCACCTCCTTCATCATCATCATCATTGTGATTTTGACTTGCATCAGTTTTTCCGTCACTCCTTGATGAACTGTTGCCATCACTTCCACAGCTATCGCTAATCTCCACATTTTCACCAATGTCAGAAACATCAGTGTGCATTATATTGCTGTCTTCAGGTTGATTCCTGAAATTAGAGAGTTGGAAATTTCCCCTTTCAGTGTTAAAAGAACAAAAAAATTGTTAACAGAGTTACATGCACATTCCCTACTTACAAGTGACTACCAGCTCCAGGAGAAAAGTTAGGTTTTAATTAAGTTTTTTGTATCCAGAACATCAAATCGTCAATTATTTTTTATAACAATAGCCAATGAGTGAAAATAAAAATGCTTTTTGGTTAGTAACTTTGATGAAATTTCATACACATACAATTCATTATTATAAAACAACTTCATGTGTACGACACTACACACTCTCTGATCGCCTACATGAAAGATGTGCATTTACATGCAAGTATGTAAACACAGTTGTAGCATCACCATGTTTTGCTGGGTTTACACTGATCAACCAACCACAATTTTGAAAGCAGTTTTGAGCTTAAATAAAACTCTACAGGCGAAATATTTAAACGTAGTTTAGCCAGTGTTTAACAAAACTGGTCATTTTCAATTTGCCCAATGATTTTATCTAAACAATATTTATTGTGAACAGTTTTATGAAAGCATATAGAAAAGACTAGAAAAGCATTAATCTTCTTAAAACAACCCACCAAAGAAGAGAACTGGAGGTTCAAACATTCGTTAAACTGCAGCTTAAGTTAGACTTCGTTGAAATGTTTGGTCCCACAAGTTTACATTATTTTCCCATTTCTTTGAGGTATAAAACTGGCAAAAACCTTTACTACAAACATGCTTTATCAAAGTTTTTCACTTTGCTGATATTTTAAGCAAGAAACAACCACATTTTATGGCATCTTTTTTGCAAAGTAAGAACTGATCACCAAACTTTGTGTACAACAATTCACGACTAGTAAGAATTTCCCTTTTAATCAATAAAAGTAACAAAGAGTTTGTTTCTTTTTCTTGGGGTGTGCATGAATCGAGCAAGGGTCCACTTGAAAGGCGAGGCAAAGAAGGACAGGCTTCCTTTGACCGGAACTCTAAGGTTCTTGGCCACTGGTTCCCGTGCTTGAAGGCAAAACGAGTACAAAACCGTGTCTCCTTCGGGAGTCACCGGACCAGTTGCTGCCAGCCCTGGTCCGTGAAAGGATAGTTACCTGGTTGATCCTGCCAGTAGTCATATGCTTGTCTCAAAGCTTAAGCCATGCATGTCTATGTATAAGCACTAGTACTGTGAAACTGCGAATGGCTCATTAAATCAGTTATCCTTTATTTGATTGTGCCATTACTACTTGGATAACCGTAGTAATTCTAGAGCTAATACATGCGAAAAGTCCCGTCTTCTGGAAGGGATGTATTTATTATATTAAAAACCAATGCCGGTTCTGCCCAGTGTCTTTGGTGATTCATAGTAACTGATCGAATCGCACGACCTTGCGCTGGCGATGTTTCATTCAAATTTCTGCCCTATCAACTGTCGATGGTAAGGTAGTGGCTTACCATGGTTGCAACGGGTGACGTTGCATAGGTGCATAGATAAAGACCCCATTTATGTTTTTCTCCAGACTACGATGAAAAACTAACCTTTCTAAGGAAGTGCAATAATTATTGTCCTCAGCTTCATCTGGTTCTTTTATAACTGAACACCATCCATTTACACCATACACAACAGTGCGTCTTCCATATCCCGTCTCCTGCCCATCTTCACACATAGTCGGATATGGCAGTTGCTCACTACTTTCCTTAGCCCGTTCTGTAATAAACAGTAGATGCAATTATTTCAATAACATCTTTTCACTGGTCTTGGTTACAACACAGTACTTGTGTTTGCAAGTTCACATAAGTTTTTAACGCATTTGCATTAAATGAAATTATTGCTCCTTGGGGAGCAAGGGTTGTGCAAGGCCCTCTTTGTGGGACATTTTGAGTTTGATTCCCAGGTGTGACCTGAAATCCTTGTTTTGACTTCTTTCCTTTACCAGATAGGACAGTGGCAGCAGCAAAAAACATCGCTTGAAAAAGAATAATTGGCATTTTTTCAATCTTCATTGCGATAACAGTTACATTTAATCTCACTTACTTTGTTAAAAGCATGCAGGCAAACTCTTCAGGAGTTCAATTCCTAAGAACACTAATAGTCCAAGTTCAGAAAGAGAAAGACTTTTTCATCAGGGCTTGTAAAGCATCCTCCATAAAATGTTAATTTAACCTTTTGATTTGTAGTCATGCAGCGATGGCAAAGAAATCTACAAATAAGGTGTGCACCATGTTCAGAGTTGTTGTTTTGCTCTTTAAACCTACTGCTTTTTGATATTCCTGTTGCCGTCACCATCATTAGATCTTAAGCTTGCTATGGCCTACAACCATGAGGGACCATTAAATGGGCTTTAATTGATTTTAAGGGACTTGCAATTAACAATCGCAATAAGAATTGGCCAGTGGAACATGTTCTATTAAAAAATTTTGGCTACTCTGTAGTGGGGTGAGTTCTACCAGTAGTTAAATTTTCCATTCTATAATAAAAAAAGGATGCATTCTGACATCTACTGGAATGCAGAATTTTCCCTGTTCTGCATCCCTTTTTGTGTTCTATTCATGTCTCATTAACATTCTGTTAGCAGTCCATTTAACCCTTTGAATGCCAAGGACAAGTACCTTTTTAAGTACCTAGGTTGATTCTCATTTTCTTGTATCTCCTGTCCCTATATTCTTGAATAATTAAGGCTAGGAGACAAAGGAAAGAGAAATCAACCTAGGTTAAAAAATTTTCACCTGAATTGACCTGTAACACATATAAACGTCCTGTACTTGGAATTTACATTTTCTTGTTGCTTGGTAATTTCATCCATGGTTGTTTGAAAGGGTCTGTGAAGGAATAATGTTAACTGCAGACCACTAAATTTTTAAAGGAGGTTACATCACAAGTTGATGTAGTGTTGTGTTGTGTTGCTTGAAATCCTTTCTACAACTGGGCTGGGTTTTTCAAAGCAGGGTAAAGATAATCCAAGATTTGTCCAAAATTTGAATTCAGATATGAAAGCTTTCAAAACTAAATTCACTTTTTAAATTCTTTGTGCCCACAATTTGAAGAATGGATACTCTAAAAAAGATTAGGGAGAATTATACAAAAAAATGCTTTTGAACTTCACTGCAAGGAATAGAAACCCAGGTTAAATTCTAACCCTCGGTTTGCGCTAATCAGGCTTCAAACAACTGGGCCTAGAAGGATATTACTACATTCTCTTAGTTTATTCTTCTTAATTTAATTATAGTTTAATATTGAACATAATTTCCCCTTGTTTATGTACTGTACTTCCTTGAATAATAGCTGTCCCTCAATTGCCTCCCTCGAATAATCACCCCCCTTTGATGGAAATATTTTGAAATAATCGCCTTCCCTTTTATTCCGAAAGTGTAGAATTTGGAGGTTTATTCAATAAGTTTTTTTCCCTGCGCACAAGCCTACTCACATTTCTTAGAGGTAGAGTCAAAGTTTTCTTGTTATAAAAGCCGTGATCTTTTGCAAGGCTTTTCTGGCGATTCATGTTACTGACGCTCAAGAACGTTGATCAACCGAAGCTGAATTTTAACGTTACTGCAGCTACTTTGCAGCATTTGAAAGTCGGCAACTGCCCTGCAAAACTGCTGCAGAGAGCTTTAAAGGCTGCACAACGCTTTTGCATCCCGCTGCAACTTGAATTAAGCTGCTGTTTGGCTTCTAAAATGCTGCTAAACAGCTGTAATTTAGCTGTACAGCTATTTTGAAGCAATTTTGTGGCGCTGTACAGCGCTGCAAGTTTCATACGGGTACCTTGCCAGATCACTTACATTTTTACTCTATTTACTTGTTTGAGGCGGGAATTACAACAAAAGAGTTGTTATAAAGTGTTAAAAATCTTGAATTAGTCTAAACTGCGAAAAATACACTTCCGAGAAAAAATCCAATATTGTCCATGATAGACAGACAAGATATAATATTCCATCTTGTAGAATCAATGTTGGCCAACATGCTTTTTGTTACTGTGGTGCGAAAATATGGAATAATCTAAGTAAAGACTTAAGGGAAATCATAAATACTAAAGTTTTTAAGAGACGTCTAATTAATGAACTGATTTGTAACATGAACTAGATTAGATGTTGAAAATTGTACAAAGTTACTATTTAGCTACTGTTGTACATAGTTTTTTAAGTTATTTAATTAAATAATTAAACTATTCATCCATTTGAGTTATTTAATTTAATTTTGATATTGATGCTGAAAAGGCCTTTTTACGGATGCTCAATAAGGTGTATGCATGTATGTATGTATGTAATAATATGGCCGCCGTTTGGGAGTGTGCTTGGGTTGGCGTTCAAAGGGTTTAACATCTACATTATACTACGCTTTTTAAATGCGATATTTTGTAATCATTAACACTACTTCTTCTTACCTGGAGATCTTAGTCCCCCGGGCAGTTGATCTTGTGTTTCCCCTTTGGTATCTAAACCGTCACAAACAGGAAGATGCCCTTCGCTTGGTGACGGCGTAAAGCTTGTCAAAGAAGAGGAGTCGCCATAGCACATCTCGATGTCAGGCGATTCTTTTTTCGACATCATGCTTTCCTCTTTGACTTCTTAAATGAACGATACTGAGTGAAAAAAGCACAGAAACACACTTCCAAAAACGTTAGTACACTGTATGCGTGTCGGAAGATTGTGGCAACTGTCGTTGTAAAACAGTCTCAAAGCGAAGTCGTGTGCGCATGACTGACTTTTTGCCGCGCTTTCGCGCCATTCCCATGACGCCGCCTGGTAAAGATTCTTTGTTGTGACCACGTGTTTTCTGAAGAACAGCTGTTTATTTGCGATTTAATATAAATATAGATATTTGGAAGTTAAACATGCTACAAAGCTGCCTAATGAAGGAGCGTCAAAGTCTAGAGAAAAACAACTGAAACAGCTTTGGAAGACTTCTTTTCAAGGTAAAAAAAAGACAGCTATTTTTTGAGTCTTCCATAAAATAATTCTCGGTTTGTAGAATATACAAAGTGAGTTTATGGCTAAATTTTTCTTATAACTGTAGAGTAAATTTATTGCAAATTTTGCATTTATATATATGTTGTAGTTAATTTTTTATCTCAGGTAATTTTTGTTTTTCTTTTGTTTCAACTTCATTAGCATACATTACCATACCCAAAAACAAAAGAAAAACAAAAATTACCTTAGACGAAAAATTAACTACAACATATACACCCGGAATGCAAACGTACTTTTACAAAGAAATACATTTCTACGTATCACCAATAACTAGGGACTCAAAATAAGTTCAAATGTTGAACTTCATATGTGATGCCGGCCTTGAATGCAGATGAGCTAGCAGGGGTGTAGCCAGCCCATAGACCTGTATGCCCGGGCCTACAAATTTTTGATAACTTATGCGTTGTTGGGATGAACTGAAAAGCTTAAGAGCTCAAAGTTTTGGTGAGGTCAGCACGTAATAGCATGCAATGCGTGCAATTTTCAGGATAATTTTATGTGGAAATGAAAGTCAGCCAGGCCTACAACTAGTCGAAAAGCTGGCTACTCGATCCCCTGGCTAGAACAAGGCATAATAGACCATTTCACAGTTGTGGGCTTAGTTTCCCAGAGTTTTAGTGAACTTGAGGCCAAAGTCGACCTTGTTTTGACACCAAACTCTTTCCTTTTCTTAAACCAAGGATAAATTTATCCACAACATATGCATGGTATTTATTCAAACATGTACAATGACAGCTGGGCTGATATAGTCATGTGCTCAAATGTAAAACGCGAAAAATTCAAATATACAAATTTCAGATTATAATCAATTGAAGCAAGAAACTAACCTTTATTGCAAAAGGAATAAATCTTTATTAAACATCTACGGTGCTGCAGGGGGCACTCAACAAAGTTTTACATGGGGAGGCTCCACGCCAAGGTTCAACCCCTCACCCTCTTATGTATCATTAAATTGAGAGCTTTTATTCTCAAATGGCACCCCTTTCTCATATCCAGTTCAAAACACTGCATTCCGTTTAAATACATAATCTTTTTATTATGAATCAATCAGTGAGTTGCGAAGATTTTGAGTCTTTGAGTTACAACAATGAAATGCATCTATTGGTCTTTAAGGTCCTTTTAAAATCTAAACTGGAAATGTATACAAAACATGGAGTCCCGGTCCATGGACAACCCCTGTGGACCACCCCAGGGTTGTCAGAAATTTTTGAAGAAGACAGCTGAGTTGTCAAAGTAAGCAGCCAGCGCTGGGCCAGAGGCACTGCCAAACGCCAAAGGCACAAGCCTCTCGGGGGGGTCTGGGGGCATGCTCCCCAGGAAAATTTTTTCATTTAGATGCTCTGAAATGCTGTTTTCTCCACTCTCCAGGCTATTTTCTCCATAATTACTAATAATCCGGAGAATAAACTATGGTCTTTATCTTCCAATCTTGTTGGTGAATGGTGATATTTCATTTTCAAAATGCCACCTGTACATGTAAAGAAATGCCAAGCAGAGTAGTCAGCCGATACTAACCACGTAGGTGGCGATTTTTGCTGGCATGCCGCTACCTTTGACCCTGGGGTGGGGGGGGCTCTGTGGGGTTTTTGGGGGGGGGTGGCGGAGGGGGGCCCGGGAAGCGTTACCTTTTCCGCAGATTGTTCAGCGGTATTTTGTTCCCCCTTGCTACAGTGT